AGAGAGAGAGAGAGAGGCAGAGGGAGAAGCAGGCTCCCAAGGAGCAGGGAGCCTGATGCGGGACTCGATCCGAGGACCCTGGGATCATGACCTGAGCCGAAGGCAGACGCTTAACCATCTGAGCCACCCAGGCGCCCAGACAAGCTAGATTTTACACCAAAGACTATAATAAGAGATGAAGAAGGGCACTATATCATTGTTAAGGGGTCTATGCAACAAGAAAATCTGACAATTGTAAATATTTATGCTCCCAACTTGGGAACACCGAAATATATAAATCAGTTCATAGCAAACATAAAGGAACTCATTGATAATAATACAGTAATAGTAGGGGACTTTAACACCCCCACTTACAGCATTAGGTAGATCATCTAAGTAGAAAATCAACAAAGAAATGACACACTGGACCATGTATTTCCTATAAATGACCACAACAATGAATGACACACTGGACCATGTGGACTTAACCAATATATACAGAACATTTCATCCTAAAGCAGCAGAATAACCATTCGTTTCAAGTGCACATGGAATATTCTCCAGAATAGATCACATACTACATCACAAATCAGGCCTCAACAAGTACAAAAAGATTGAGATCACACCAAGCATACTTTCAGAGCACAGTGCTATGAAACTTGAAGTCAACCACAAGAAAAATTTTGGAAAGATCTCAAATGCATGGAGGTTAACATATTACTAAAGAATGAATGGGTTAACCAGTAAATTAAAGAAGAAATAAAAAAAATACATGGAAGCAAATGAAAACATGACAGTCCAAAACCTTTGGGATGCAGGAAAGGCAGTCATAAGAGGGAAGGGTAAAGCAATACAGGCCTTCCTCAAGAAACAAGAAAAGTCTCAAATACACAACCTAACCTTATACCTAAAAGACCTGGGAAAAGAACAGCAAATAAAGCCTAACACCAGCAGAAGAAAGGGAATAATTAAAATCAAAGCAGAAATAAATGATATAGAAACAACAACAAAAACATAGAAGACATCAACAAAACTAAGAGTTCATCCTTTGAAATAATTAACAAAATTGATAAACCCCGAGCCATACTTATCAAAAAGAAAAGAGAAAGCACCCAAATAAATAAAATCACAAATGAAAGAGGAGAGATCACAATGAATACCACAGATATATGAACAATTATAAGAGAATATTATGAAAATTTATATGCCAACAATTTGGACAGTCTGGGAGAAATGGATACATTCCTAGAAACTGAATCAGGAAGAAATAGAAAATTTGAGCATACCCATAAGCAGCAAAGAAATTGAATCAGTAATAAAAAATCTCCCAAAAAACAGAAGTCCAGGGCCAGATGGCTTCCCAGGGGAATTCTACCAGATATTTAAAGAAGAATTAATACATATTCTTCTGAAACTGTTCCAAAACATAGAAATGGAAGGAAAACTTCCAAATTCATTCTACAAGGCCAGAATTACCTTGATTCTGAAACCAGACAAAGACACCACTAAAAAGGAGAATTACAGACCAAAATCCCTGATGAACATGGATGCAAAAATTCTCAACAAGATACTAGCAAATCAAATCCAACATAACATTGAAAGCATTCTTCACGATCAAGTGGGATTGATTTCTGGGCTGCAGGGGTGGTTCAGTATTCGCAAATCAATCAACGTGATATGCCATATTAATGAAAGAAAGGATAAGAACCATATGATACTATCAATAGAGTCAGAAAAAGCATTTGACAAAGTACAGCATCCATTCTTGATAAAAACCCTCAACAAAGTAGTGTTAGAAGGAACATACCTTAATATAATAAAGGCCATAGGAAAAACCCACAGGTAATATCACCCTCAATGGGGAAAAGCTGAGATATTTTCCTCTATGGTCAGGAGCAAGACAGATATGTCCACCCTCATGACTGTTATTTAACATGTTACTGGAAATCCTAGCCTTAGAAATTAGACAAAAAAAGGAAATGAAAGGCATCCAAATCAGCAAGGAAGAAATCAAACTTTTACCCTTCAGAGACAACTTGATACTCTGTAGAAAACATGGAAAATTCCACCAAAAAATTGCTAGCACTGATACATGAATTCAGCACAGTTGCAGGATATAAGATCAACATACAGAAATCTGTTCATTTCTATACATCAATAAGGGAGCATCAGAAAGAGAAATCAAGGAATTGATCCCATTCAAAATTGCACCAGAATAATAAACCTAATCAAAGAGGTAATGGATTTGTACTCTGAAAACTATGGAACACTTATGAAATACATTGAAGAGGACATAATGAAATGGACAGATATTCCATACTCATGGATTGGAAGAACAAATATTGTTAAACTGTCTATCCTCCCCAAAGCAATATACACATTTAATGCAATCCCTATCAAAATAACACCAGCGTTTTTCACAGAACTAGAACAAACAATCCCATAATTTGTATGGAATCACAAAAAATCCTGAATAGCCAAAGCAGTTTTGAAAAGGAAAGGCAAAGCTGAAGGCATCACAATTCCAGGCCTCAAGCTATATTACAAATCTGTAGTCATCAAGACAGTATGGTACTGGCAGAAAAACAGACACATAGATCAATGGAATAGAATAGAAAGCCCAGCAATGGACTTTGTATTTCTGTATACACAGGGAACTGTATGGTCAACTAATCTTTGACGAAGCAGGAAAGAATATCCATGGAAAGAAGACAGTCTCTTCAACAAATGGTGGTGGGAAAACTGGACAGGAACAAGCAAAAGAATGAAACTGGACTACTTTCTTACACCATACACGAAAATAAATTTAAAATTTATTTCCTGTGAGATAAGAAACCATCAAAATCCTGGAGGAGAAGGCAGGCAGCAACCTCTATGACATTGGCTGTAGCAACTTCTTACTAGACACATCTCCAAAGGCAAGGGAATCAAAGGCAAAAATGAACTATTGGGACTTCATCAAGATAAAAAGCTTCTGCACAGTGAAGGAAACAACAAAACTAAAACAATCTATGGAATGGGTGAAGATATTTGCAATGACACATCTGATAAAGGGCTAGTATCTAAAATCTATAAGGAACATTTCAAACTTAACACCCAAAAAACAAATAACCCAGTGAAGAAATGGGCAGAAGACATGAATAGACACTTTTCCAAAGAAGCTGCAGATGGCTAACAGACATGAAAAGATGCTCAACGTCACTTATCATCAGGAAAATACAAATCAAAACCAGATGAGATACTATCTCACACCTGTCAGAATGGCTAAAATTAACAACACAGGAAAAAACAGATGGTGGTGAGGTTACTGAGAAAGGGGAACACACTTAACTTTTGATGGGAATGTAAAGTGGTGCAGCCACTCTGCTAAGCAGTATGGAGGGTTCTCAAAAAGTTAAAAATAGGGGGCACCTAGGTGGTTCAGTCAGTTAAGAGTCTGACTCTTGATTTTGGCTCAGGTCATGATCTCAGGGTCGTGAGATCAAGCCCCGAGTCAGGTTCTGCCTTGGGTGTGGAGCCTGCTTAGGATTCTTTCTCTCTCCCTCTGACCCTCACCACCCTCCACTGCATGCTCTCTCTCTCACACAAAAAATAAAAAAAAAAAAAAAAAATAGAACTACCTTACAACCCAGCAGCTGCACTACTAAGTATTTACCCAAAGGATACAAAAATAGAGATTTGAAGGGGTACATGCACCCCGATGTTTATAGCAGCATTATCAACAATAGCCAAACTGTGGAAAGAGCCCAAATGTCCATTGACTGATGAATGGATAAAGAAGATGTGGTATGTATATGTACAATGGAATGTTATTCAGCCACAAAAAGTAATGAAATATTATCATTTGCAATAACACGATGGAACCAGAGTTTATTATGCTAAATGAAATGTCAGTCAGAGAAAGACAAATACTATATGATTTCACTCATATGTGGAATTTAAGAAACAAAACAGATGGACATAGGGGCAGGGAAGGAAAAATAAAATAAAAACAGAGAGGGAAGCAAACTGTAAGAGATGCTTAACTATAGAGAACAAACTGAGGGTTGATGGAGGGAGGTGGGGGAGGGGATGGGCCAGATGGGTGATGGGTATTAAGGAAGGCACTGGTTGTGATGAGCACTGGGTGTTGTATGTAAGTGATGAATCACTAAATTCTACACCTGAAACCAATTTTACCATATATGTTAACCAACTAGAATTTTAATAAAAACTTGAAATTAAATAAATAAAAATAAATAATTTAACCCTCATTTCTTCTTGTAAATGTTGCTCAGTAGGTTAATTATCCCTATGCAATTCTCTGTATAGAAGTTGATAATAGTTGCACCCATACAATTTCCTTTATCTACAATTACACTATTATTTTTAACCTGTATTTTTTATTTTACATTGTCTAACGTCCTAAGATTTTCATTGACTTCTGCATCCACAACCAAGTGTTCTGTGCTTTGTTCATACAATAACTCTAAATGTTAAGAAACAATGAAAAGCATTTATATTATTGTTGGCTATGTGTATTATCTCTGGCCAAGCACTGTGTTGGGACTATATTTCCATATTTTGGGGGCTGATCCCTCCAGTAATTGTCCCTTCAGAGAAGAATATTTCTAGCCTCAAGATCTACCACCTTGTTATTATCTGGTCACACCTGCTTGCTCTCCTCTCCTATAATTCTAGGCTAAGGTATCCCTTCCCACTTGACTCCACACTCTCCGACCTAAGGACATCATTCAATAATCGTCCCAATGCTGTCCTACATCATTTTCCCACTGAATGATGTCATTGCTATAACCATAAAACACATTATAATGAACCCATTAAATACACACACACACACCCTGTTCCCCACAACTCCTCAAAAGCTCCCCAAACTCCCTTTATTCTCTCTCAAATCAGTTCCAATCAGTCTTTTGTCTATTCTTGTACCAAAGAAAAATGCTTGTTAATGTAACCAGTATCTTCCACAGTGCCAAATTAAATGTTTAATCCTCAATCACTGTTTTGACCAATTAGAAGTATTTCATAGTGATATTTGCACCTCTTCCAGAAACCCTTCATTCATTTGCCTTCCAAGTCACAACTGTGTCTTGGTTCTCCCGTTACTTCACTGGCTGCTTCTCTTAGTGGACTTTGCTAGTAATTCATATCTCAAGGCCTCTGTTCTATGTATCCTCACTTATTTAGCAGCCCAATCTAGTATCTTGGTTTTCAATCCTGTTGATACAGATATACAGCACACGAGTTTATCCTCCAACCAATACCTATCCCCTGAATGTCACAATCATATAGCCAGTATCATATGGGCATCGATTTGAGTACCTGGTCGACATCTTAGTCCCCCTAAACCTACCACCTGTTAGAGGGTTTTCCATGTTATTCTTCCAGTTTTTCAAAGTAGAACACTTAATTCTTATGTCCTTTCTCTCACTGTTGAGAGACAATTCTGTTGGCTTTACCTTCCATTCACGAAGATCGCTCTCTCCCCTTCCAGCCCTCTTCCAGATCCAGACTACCATCAACTCTGAATTTCTGCAGTAACGTTCTGAGTCCTCTTTCTGGGTCTTCCTTGGCCCCATCCTTCTTATTGTCATCTCAACCCCATAGCCAGAGTGACCTTGATAAAATGTAACTCTAATAACTTAATTCATTCATCTGCTCAAAATTTTCAAGTAGTTTTCTATCTTACAGCAAAAAGTGAAAGGTCTTTTAGAGTCATAGCACCGTGTGTGGTCTGGACCTTGGGCAATTCTTTGATCTTATGTCCTTTCCTTCTGCCACTCCTCTCTCTGCCCACGGATTCCAGCCGCATGAACCTCCTTGCTCCTCCTCAAACACACCAGGCACAGTCCTGTCTCAGGCCATTTCTCCTGGCTTTTCCCTCTGTCTGGAATGTTCTTCCTTCACATTTCTCATGGCCGGCTCCCTCTCTTTCATCAGGTCTTTTCTACTGATAAATTCATCTCTCTATATAATATAAATATAAAAATAGTTTCTGTATCACTCTCTTCCCCACTAAATTACAAGCTCCATGAGGACAGGAACTGTGTTTTCTGCTTGATGGCCCAATGCCTTACATACAGTCATTATTCACTATTTGCAGGTTTACAGAATAAATGAATCTTTTATTGATTTTGTTCATTTTTAAAAGTCCTTTCCCTGGGGTGCCTGGGTGGTGCAGTTGGTTAAGTGTCTGACTCTTGGTTTCAGTTCAGGTCATGATCTCAGGTTCATGAGATCAAGCCCCGCATCAGACCCCACACTCAGGGCAGAGTCTGCTTGAGATTCTCTCTCCCACTCCCTCTGCCGTTCTGCTCATGGTCTCTCTCTCTCTCTAAAATAAATAAATAAAATCTTAAAAAATAAATAAATAAAAAGTCCTCTCCCTGGTTTCTGAACCTTCTTTTTCTTTTATCATCTTTGAATTCACTTTTATTTTCATTTTTTAAGCTTTGTTGACATATAATTTATATGCAAACATTACACTTGTTTAATGTATACATATTGATGAGTTTGGACACATGCATCCACCTGTGATACCATCACTTCTGTGAAGATTTAGCATTGTATATAGTGTTCTTAAATTTTATTGTATTAACTTTGTCTTTTTCTTTATGCAGTGTACTTTCTGAATCTTGGAAATTTCCTAATACTCAAATCTCATAAAGACATTGTTCTCTATTTTTCTCCTCTTCATAACTTAAAAGTTTCGGTTTTCACATTGAGGTCTTACTCCATTTGGCATATACTCTTGTGTAGACTTGAGATAGAACAAGTATATCTGTGAGATTGTGTATTTTTCAGCAAACTAATTTCTTGAATCATTTTTTATTTTACCTCTGCAACATGACATAGTCTATATTGTTCATTTTTATCCTTTGTATTCTTTTCTGTGTCTCTATCCATACGCCAACCGATAGAGCTTTTTGCGTCAAATTTTTATTTAAATTCTACTTAGTTAACATATAGTATAATACTGGTTTCAGGAGTAGAATTTAGTGATTCATCACTTACAAATAACACCCAATATTCATCACAACAAGTGCCCTATTTAATACCCATCATGCATTTAGCCCATTCCTCACCCACCCCCCTCCATCAACCCTCAATTTGTTCCTATAGTTAAGATTCTCTTATGGTCTGCTTCCCTCTCTCTTTGTTTTTCCCTCCTATGTTCCTCTGTTTTGTTTCTTAAATTCCACATATGAGTGAGATCATATGGTATTTGTCTTTCTCTGACTTATTTCACTTAGCATTATACTCCCTAGCTCCATCCATATCATTGCAAATGGCAAGATTTCATTCTTTTTGATGGCTGAGTGATATTCCATTGTACGTATATATACCACCTCTTGTTTATCCATTCATCAGTCAATGGACATTTGGGCTCTTTCCATAAGTTAGCTATTGTTGATAATGCTGCTATAAACACCAGGGTACATATGCCTCTTCAAATAAGTATTTTTGTATCTTTTGGGTAAATACCTAGTAGGTCAATTTTTAACTTTTTGAGGAACCTCCATAGTGTTTTCCAGAGTGGCTGCACCAGTTTGCATTCCCACCAACAGTGTAAGAGAGTTCTCCTTTCTCTGCATCCTCACCAACATCTGTTGTTTCCTGTGTTGTCAATTTTAGCCATTCTGACTGGTGTGAGGGGGTATCTCGTCATGATTTTGATTTGTATTTCCCTGATGCTTAGTGATGTAGAGCATATTTTTATGCGTCTGTTGGCCATCTGTATGTCTTCTTTGGAGAAGTGTCTATTCAAGTCTTCTGCCCATTTCTTGATTGGATTATTTGTTTTTTGGGTGTTGAGTTTGGTAAATTCTTTATAGATTTTGGATACTGTCCCTTTATCAGATATTTGCAAATATCATCTCCCATTCCATAGGCTGCCTTTTAGTTTTGTTGATTTCCTTCACTGTGCAGAAGCTTTTTATCTTGATGGAATCCCAATAGTTCATTTTGCTTTTGTTCCCCTTGATAGAGCTTTACATCATGTCTTGATTTGTTTTTAGGCAATCTCCATCCCTTTAACACAAAATTGTTTTCTTAGCTCTTCTTACTATTTTACTTTCTAAACAAGGTGTATAAACAAACTATCAAGTTCAAGAAAATTCTGTTAGGTTTTCTTTGTTATTCTGTTGGGTTTATAGATTGATTTGGGTAGGAAATTGAAACCTTTACTTTTGTCTTCTAATCAATGATGGTGATATCCCTCACAGTAGTTAAATCGTTTTTTCATGTCACTCAGTGATTTTTTTTTAAATATTTTTCCATACATACCTTGCAAATATTTGTTTACAGTTACCTTCAAATATCTTATGATGTTCATTGCTATTGCAAGAAGAGGCTTTAAAAAGCAAACACTTCCTATCATCTTTTAAATACAAGAATGCTGTTAAATTTTGTATATTGATCTGAATTCTTAAAAAACCAGGGAATATAGTATTAATTTGAAGAGATTTTTAGTGAATAAAATAATTATTTTTCAAGAACAATGATGACTTTTTTTTCTTGTGTTTCATACATTTTACTTTTGGCTTTATTGGCTTGGAACTTTAGTGCAAAATTGAATAGAAATGTTTTTTACAGGTAATACTCAAATATTTCTGCATAAGAGGGCTATAGATTTTCACACATTAAGTGTTTTTCCTCTATTTCTATTTTGTTAATATTTCTTATTAAATATATGCATTAGATTAAGGAATGGCTTTTCTTCCTGTTTTTCTAAGGTTTTAATTATTTTTATCATAAATGAATTCTCAGTACTATTGAATCCCTTTACAAACTTCTTAAAATTATTGCATCTACTTTTTAATCTGTTATTTTGAGGAAAGCTATCCTAAATATGTGTTATAAAACTGTAACCACATTCTTAGAGTAAATGCTAGTATCACTAAATACTAATTAATAAATATTAATATTATTTCAGATATGGCTAGATTTGCTTTGCTAACATGTTTTTTTTAGAATCTTTACATGAGTGTTTGTGAGAAATCAGCCAGTATTTTTCCAACTTTTCCTCTTCTCTAATTTTGTTTCAGTTTTGTATAAGCCCTGTAAAAGAATTTAAAGAAGCGTACTTCTCTTTTTTATGTGAGTGTTTATTGAAAGTAGAGCTTGTCAGTTTCCTAGAAGTTTCGTAAGACATGTCTTTACAACCATTTGGGTCTACTAACCTTTTTTGCAGATAGGTATGACAAAGAAAAATTAATTTGTTTAATGTTTATGAATCCATTCAGTTTTTTATTTTATCATGTATTAAGTTTATTAATTTACCTTTTCTAGAAAATTTTCCACATATTTCCTCTGTGTTATATATGATATTCCTTATTTTTTTTCTGTATTTATGTTTATCTGTATTCATCATACTTTTTTATCTCGAATATTGTCTTTGTGCTAATTCTGTTTTTTCACAATCTGTCTTAGCTGGATGTCTTAGATTGCTAAAGATTTATTTATTTATTTATTTATTTGAGAGAGAGAGAGAGAGAGAGAGACAGTGAGCACGAGATGGGGGAGGGTCAGAGGGAGAAGCAGACTCCCCACTCAGCAGGGAGCCCAATGTGCGACTCGTTCCCGGGACTCATGATGCGGAGGCAGTTGCTTAACCAACTGAGCCACCCAGGCACCCTAGATGTCTAAGATTTCATTAGTTCTTTTAAAGGGCCAGTGTTTGCTTCACTGACCCACCCCGTCCTGTTTCATTACGATTTCATTCATTTGTTTTTACTCTATATTATTTGCTTACTTCTATTTATGTATTGGTTTAGTATTTTTCTGACTTCTTAAGTTGAATGCTTAGTTCATATGTTTTTCTTCCTGTTTTTTATATGTGCATATATGTACACATAGTTCTATGTTTGGAAGATGTGTGTGCGTGTATGTGTGTGTGTGTGTGTGTGT